ACTGGACTTGAATTTAGTAATTGTCTTGCCTCAGCCTCCTGAGTGCTGGGATTATAGATGTGTGCCATCATTCCTGGCTGTAATGCAATTTTCCTTATCACTTGAAATTGTAACGCTATTTTAGGAAGATGGTTTAAATATTGTAACAATTGGATTTGTCATAAATTGGATTTAGAGTGGGTTCAGGATGTGCTTTTTAAGTAAAAATTTACCTGTGTATGGTGGCACACATCTGTAATCCCCGTACTTAGGAAGCTGAGGCAGGAAGATTGCCCTGAGTGTGAGGCCAGCCTGGGCTATATGTGAGTTCAAGGCTGGCCTGAACTATGCAGTGAAACCCTACCTCAGAAAACAAAACAAAAATAAAAATTTTGATCAGTAACCATATTTTATATTACTCATTTCTAAATATTTATGAATCTTTTAGTTGTACGATCCAGCAAAGGATGAAAAACTGCAAGAACTTTTGTCTTTTGCAAGAGGTAGATTGGAAAACTTTGGTTATCTACAGGTGTTAACATTCTAAGTTACTTGCAACTTATATTCAAGAAATAGTTATTAATTAGTATTATTATGGCAACTAATTAGCTAGATGTGCCGCCCAACTTGCTCTGGCTAAAGAGAAACTGTCCCAGCATTTTCATCACCAACAGTGGGTGTCAGGTGTATGTTGTAGCTTCAGAACTGGGCAAATAGGGAAACAAAGCCAAAGAGGTCTCATTTATTTTCGTCTACAACTCCCAGTTACTAATTTTCCAAGTTACTAAATGTTAAGAATCAAAGCTGAAAAAGCTTAACTGCATTAAAAATATTTGTTTTTTCCGGTGTCAGGGATTGAACCTAGGGCCTCACGTGTTAGGCAAGTACCACGAAGCTGTATCTCCAGCCCTTTGTTCTCTGAGACAAGGTCTTACTAAGTTGTGCCCAGGCTGGCCTTGAATTGGGATCCTCTCTTTTCAGCCTCCAGGGTAGATAGATTTCAGGCTGAGGCAATTTTATACAAATCAGTGTATCAGTTTGTACTGTGACTTGTGACTTGAATTATGTGTATTATTTTCCTCTGTGGTCTTAACATTTGTTTCAGATTTTGGGTCATTTCAATTTTTAGATTAGAGATGCTTAACTTGTATTTTTATAATTATGTAAGGGGATTTATTAGGCAGGTTTATAGGAATGGAGGAGGCAGAGTGCACAGTGGCCTTCTGCGTGCTGGAGAGCCGAGGACTGAACAGCTGCCTAGTCACGCAGAGCCACAGAACCAGAGCGATGGAGGACGGCAGCCCCAGTCCCAGGTGGACGGCCTGGCTGTGCACTGAGTCATGTGTGTGCCCGTGCTGGAGGCTGCAGGAACCAGATGTTCAAAGCTCATGGAGTCCGGAGGTTTTCAGAGACCGGCCTTAATCTATAGCTCTGCAACCATCGTAGTTATTTCCGTAGGGACCGGTGAGCCAGTAGTTTTGATGGAACTGCTGAAAAGCTGCTTAACTGAATTTATTGGCTTGTTTGCCTTAACTGGCCAAACTGATTTTGTACTGTCAACCTCGGTTTTACCTCTTCAAAAAGCAGACACAATTCAATTATTTTGATTTAATGTATCACCTCCATAAAGCTATAATTTTGCTGAATACTAATGAAAATTTATGTGGAAAATATGGTAAAATCCAGCATTTAAATAGACACAAAACTGTTAGATGTTTACACTTAGCTAGACGGATGGCTGGGTCAAAAGAGCTAGTCCCAGGTCTTTGAGGTATCTCCATTGATTTCCACAGTGGTTGTACCAGTCTGCACTCCTACCAACAATGGAGAAGGATTCCTTTCTCCCCCACAGCCCTGCCAGCATTTGTTATTGGTTGATTTCTTGATAGCAGCCATTCTTTGTGGGGTGAGGTGGAATCTCAGTGTTGTTTTCATGGGCATCTCTCGAATGACCAGTGATGTGGAACATTTTTTCATATATTTACTTGCTGCTTTTACTTCTTTGTCTGAGCAATGTCTGTTCATTTCGGATGCCCATTTTTGAATTGGGTCTTTATATTTGGGGGGGCAGATTGTTTTGACTTCTTTATATATTCTAGATAATAGTCCTTTGTCTGAGGAGCAGCTGGTAAAAATTTTTTCCCAAATTGTAGGTTGTCTCTTAGTTCCGTTGATCACAGTGATATATGCGCACCCATGTTTATAGTTGCACAGTTTGTAATAGCTAAAACTTGGAAACAGCCCATTTGCCCATCAGTTGGAAACTGGATAAAAAAGATGTGGTTTTTCTATAAAATGAAATATTACTCAGCCACAAAGAATGAGAAATTAGATTCATTCATAGGAAAATGGATACATATTGAGAATATACTCCTAAGTGAAATAAATACGTC